ATGGCATCGCATACACCACAGTTTCAGCTGTCTTAGGAGATGTTTTTAGTTTTTCATAAATTTGATTGATACAATTTTGATACAGTTCTACATAACCATTAGTTACTATTTTGAAACATTAACGTATGGGTTTTACTTTGTGATATTATTTTAGTACTTTTAGTAATTTTAAACAAAAATTTTTGGGTCGTATTTTGGAATGTTACACGGCTCCTTCCCCTTGGATGAAGAGGTACCTGAAACCAACACTGAAACTATAAGCACAAAGCTTAGTGAATTCCTGCATCATACCACATACCATACTATCATACATGCTGTTAGGCAATTTTTGGGTGCCCGACCTACCCATGTCAAGCCCTTCTGGTGTGCTGACTACCCGTGTCAAGCCATTCTGGGGTGCTGACTACCAATGTCAGGTCATTCTGGGGTGCGTGCCTAACCTCCGATCTATCTCACCCGGTCAAGGGGATTATTTCACCCCTACTACTATCACATAATAACATGTCATAAACGCGCTGTCAGACATATATGGGGTGTCCGACCTACCCTTCGGTCCTAACAACCGATCGGGGTACTATTCCCCTCCTACTACCATTATCACATAGAACATAACATAGTGGCACATTGAACATATCAAGTAATAGCAAACCAGACAATTATCACAAAGATAATCATCTAAACTGTAATCAACTACTAGTGGGTCGTCCTTGGTTCCTTAGACCTGCTTCTACCGGAAGGTAACTCACCTCAATGTCGTTTAGTGTCTGCACTGTCCTCGGTGTGAAAGTAGGCTCTCCTCGACTCCTCAATCCCTACACAAAACCCTTCTAAATTATCAACTTGTACTCACAAACCCTACAAGGGTCAACTTGTATCCAAATCAAAGTCAAAGTCACACCCTGGTCAAGTCAACTCTTTGGTTGACCAAAATTGCCAAGTTGGTCGGCCAACTCGTTGACTCCCTTCGTCCACGAAATACTACAAACCCGTCCCCACTCGTCGAGTCTAGCAAGAGATCGACGAGTTCACCTTCATCAACACTTCAGTCAATCTTCATCCGACTCGACGAGTTCTTCCTTGAATTTGTCGAGTTCATCTTCAGCATATGAATGTGTCCAGTCTATGACTCGCCGAGTTGTAAGAGCAACTCGTCGAGTCCATCTTCAAAGATTGGGAGATTGCCTTGGACTCGCCGAGTGTGTTCTAGCACTTGTCGAGTCCCATGATTCCTAGGTCCCTTACCAGCCTAAACAACTGGGGAACCTTCCACACTATCATTTGGTCCTTCAATAGAAGGGATTTGGTGGACATTACACCCCGACTTTCCGAGTCTGAAGAACGACTCGCCGAGCCCATCATTGACCATTACTATATAGTCAATTTAAATGGGTCTTAACACGTTAGCACTATAGATCTGGCCTCCAAATGTTCATTTTACACATAAAGTCTCAAGCTTGGTGCACATGCATGGGATCTTTGGCTTAAAATGCCATAAAAGATGGTCTACAAGATGCATGGGGTTTTTATGGCAACAAAGTAGGCATTTTTATGCCATAAAGAGCCCCAATGTCCCCGGATCTGAAGACATAACTTCATATTACACTTCCCAACCCAAAATGGCTTAAAAAACCCTTAATATACCAAGATCCAATCCCTAAAGATGATTATTTACATGGAAGATCAAGATAGGAGCTTTTTACCTTAAATGAGCTGGAAATTGAACACAATCTGGATCTCCAAGCTCCTTTCCTCTTCTCAAGCTTCACAAACCACCAAAAATGGATGAAATGACCTTAGAACGGTCAAACAAGGCTAGGGTTCCGAGTTAGGGTTTGCTCTGGATGATGGGGCCGAGTTGATGGGTTATAATGTGTTTAAAAAGGGTACAAACCATCATTTTATGGTTTTACTCAAACAACGTCTACTTGTCGAGTCGGTCCTTCGAATCGTCGAGTAGACTGCATAAACTTCCTGCGGATCACGACTCTACTCGATGATTTGGGCCTCCAACTCGTCGAGTCCCATAGAAAACATAATAAATACTTGAATTAAAGGCATACCAGAAATTGAGTGTTACACTAGCGGTCAGATAGTGCTAGAATGTGGTAAGTCTGCGGGTGTAGCTGTAGCATTCATGAGGATGGAAGATAGTGATATAGTGTTGTAAGATTGCGAGGGTAGCCGTAGCATTCAGTAGCGGTAAGATAGTGATTGAATGTGGTAAGTCTACAGGTGTAGGCATAGAATTCATGAGGTTGGCAGATAGTGATACAATGTTGTAAGTCTGCGGGTGTAGTTGTAGCATTCACTAGGTTGGTAGATAGCATGACTGTGTTGTTAGATCGCGGAAGGAACAATAGTACCCACCAGTTATGGTGCAGCAGTTAGGATACGGAAATCCATGGATTGGATTATGGAATTACCCAGATGGGTTAGATCTGGTTAAGTCAGTGATAAGACCTTAGGAAAACCATGGCTGTTATGGGAACAAGGAAGCAATGGATCGCATGAGTTCAGGTTGTGATATGAGGCTACCTTTAGCCATGTAGCAATCACTTTCAGTCTTGGAGTTGGTGACATCCACTACTACAAAAACAGCCTTTTACGATGCTCATTGCGCGTCGTAAAGGGCTCAGACGACGTGCAAATGCGCGTCAAGGAAGGCCCTGTCATAAAGCGAGACGACGCGCTTTTGCGCGTCGTCTATAGACGATGCACATTTACGATGCTCATTTACGACGTGCAATTACGACGTGCGTTTAGGACACACAATGCGTATCAAGAAAGGCCCTATCATAAAGGAAGATGACACGTATTCATGTGTCGTACCCTTACGACGTGCGTGTTAATGACACACAATGCGTATCAAAAAACCCCTATCAAGAAAGGCCATGTCATAAATGAAGATGACACACATTTTTGCGTATCATAATTTTAAATGTTAAACAAAATATTATTTATAGATTTACTAATTTTCAAATTAAATTTGTATTTAATGTCTCATAATAGAAAATAAAATATCATATATGATGGGTTTTGGTCATAATACATCCTATGTGCTCATATAAACCCTAATGCTTGGATCTAGGTTTCTCTATTATACATGCTTTGAATCCAAGACTATAAACCCTAATTCTAGCATTCAAGTAATCATATTAATATGTAATTAGGTTTAAGATCATACCTTGATTGTTATGTAGCAATAACAATCCCAAATCTCCTTGTAATGACTTTGGAATGCTTAGAGTCACAAGTGTCACTCCTCTAATGGCTTACAAACACCAAGAACAAATGGAGAAGGTATAAAGAGAGAGGAGAGAGGCTAGAATTCGTCCTTAGGACTCCTTGGGAACAAGTACACGAATTCTAAGGCCTTAGGGTCTTTATATAGGTGTAGAGATAGGGTTTCAGTCATTATCCTTATCTAGTTGCTTATCCACAAAGCAACCATAAGATAAGCCTTGAAAACCCTTATCCTTTATCCTTTGGACGATTTCAAGGATCCTTATCTCCTTGAATTCGTTCAACCCATATTTAGGATAACCATTACCATCTTTTGTAACTATCACATAATTACAATTAAACCCCTCTAGTTTAATTAATTACACTTGATCACAAAATTAATTCTTAATTAATTATTGACCAATATTAATTAAGCAAATATGATTTCTCCTTTAATATATTATTCTTATAACATATTAATAAATCATAATAACCTCTCTCTCTTTATTTATTTCTCCAATCAAGTTGCTTTAGTGAAGGCAACCCAAAAGGACCATGCACCATCAGGTCAAGTACATACCAAAATAGTTATGGACTTAGACACTAATCCAACAATATATTCATTGCATAGAATTTAATGTCATAAAAATAATGATATACAAAAAATAAAATCCATTGCATAAAATACAATCCCTAACTATCTAACCTATTATTACATTGTTATTAAGGGACACCCTGTCTAAGATATCATGTAAAAAACAAATCCTCCATGTCAAAAAAATTGGTTGTTGTCCATAGAGTGTAGATGACAAATAATGACTTGAACATTAGCTGAAACCAAAAAACTTTTATTAATCACACAATCAAAAAGCTGAAACCAAAAAGCTTTTAATTACACAAGAGACAACACATCATCATGAGAAACTACTAACCTGCCCTTAATGGAGCAAGTAGTTTTCTCCAACCAACTTTGTTGGTGTGGACTTATAAAAGTTATAGCATGTCCTAGCAAGCTGCAAATAATACATATCAAAATTATTAGCAACTAAAAAAGCAACAAAAATAGCAGACCTCTTCAGCCAGATTCAAGAACTTTCATTGATGTCTCCTACATGTCTCTGTTTTAATAACTCATTAGTTTGTTTTATATATATAGCTACAGTTTGTTTTATATATACACAAAAGTTATAATTTGAATTGGATCGAGATAATTTTATAATCTATAGTTATTATAAGTTTTTTAAATGGCATTTTCTTCTCAACAACAACAACCTCATCATTTTTTTTATAATCGAGTCTGACATCATTTTTTAAATGGCATTTTCTTCTCAGCAACAAGAACAACCTTATCAGTAAAAAAAAAAGCTGGAATCCAAACATCTATCAATAAGTCGAGTTTGACATGATTTCAACTAAAAATGAACTCCAACCAACTGATAACTAAACAAAAGTTACAATTCTAAAAGCTATGGATAATAAAAAAGAAAGAACATCTAGAAATGAAAAAGCAAAATCCACTACTGGGGGTTTCTTGAAACTGTAAAACTGAAGATCTTTTTGAAGATAAGCATACGAGAAAGGCCATAAAGACATGTGCTTTGGATAAGAATATAGAAGCTTATAGTCATTGAGATCTAACAAAAATAGGCGAAAGAGGTCTTACCATGAGTATGGGACAAAAAATTTGTAAGTTTTTTTCCTCTTGAAAGAAGATGGAAGTTTGAAATTTGATGTTCTAACAAAAATAGGTGCCCAACTACAATCTTCACTTTCTATCATTAGCACTGCATCTGAAAAATAAAACCATAAACTTCAAATCTCATGTTTACCCTTTTGGTTGCTATTTATAGGAAGAAAAGAAAAAGTAATTGATAATTCATAATTGATAATTGATACCTTTATCCAGGTGGAACAAACTACTTTGTGGACACGTCCTGATGGTGTTTTCTCATACACTAATGCACAAGTAACATGATTCCTTTCTGGTGCCATTCTGTAAGATTAATAACATATAAATATTATTACATTCTTGAATTATTATTTTAATAAAGAAAATCAAGATTGTGGAAATAAATTTACTTAGGGGAGGAAGAAATTGAGTAGTATTTGGGTTGTAAGGGAGGGGCAACAGATGCAAAGAAAACACCAAGTGGAGGTTTAGCTGAAGGGAAAGCCTCTATGACTTCAAGAAGGCTTCTTTGGCTTGACACTATCCACTGAGCATATTCATCCTGAACAATATTTATCCAACAAATAAATAAATATATAACATCAATTTTCATATTAAGAAAAAGAAATCCCAAACGTTTGGGGGAAAGTTGTTGTGGATATGTTGGCTACTTCTAAGCCCTGTTAACATGAATAAGAAAAATATGAGAAGTTGACCAAAAATGGATGTCGTTAATTTAAGAGAAAAACAAGTGATGCTAATCAGTTTGTCTTTATCCTGAAGATGTCCACAAAAAAATAAAATTTTAACTATCCAAGTTAATATACAACTCAAAGTGAAAAAGACACATCCTTATATAATTACAAATAAGTTAAAAGAAAAAGAAACATTCTACCTTGATTGGATATCTGCTGAATTTACGTGTAGATATCCACTCTTCTATAAGTTTGCAAGTATCTGGAAGCACTACAAATATGAAAAACGAACCCATTTGCATAAACTGTACCTGGAACCCCACATCTCCAAGCAATTTGATGTGGCAGCTATCCAGGAACAGGAGGTTGCAAAGATGTAGGAGAAACTGATACATTCTTTGGCACTTCAAAGGAAACCACCTGATAAGAACCAAAAGAACATATCACCAATTTGAAATGTATCAATAATGGAACATCTTGATGATACAAGAAAAGTTTAGCATCCAATTTTGATTCTTTTTATGCTCATAAAAAAGTATAGCTACAGGAAAAGTTTTTATGCTCATAAAAAAGTATAGCTACAGGAAAAGTTTAGAATCCAATTTTGATTCAAGAATCATAAGCATTCAAGAAAGGCTTATAAGAGGCTTACTTACATTGCTAAGAGTCAAACAATTATTATTTGGAAGAATGATACCTGCATTATTGTTTAAATCCTGAACGGCAGGAGAAAGAGTAGTCATAACATCACTAAGCCCTCCTATTCCCTTCTGATGATCTGAGCTTGCATTGAGATTACTGTGGAGAAGGAAATGATGAAAAATAGAAACAACAACAATTATTATTATTATTTTTATTTAAAATGCTAATACCTCAAAAATAGTACCTCATACAGTTTAACAATATTAAAATAACCTCTAGTTTTCGGTCGGTGTGTGTAAGTATGTCAAGTAATGGTAAAATGGTAAAAAATATTTTCAAATGATTCAGGTTCAGGTTCGCCAATGTATGAAGGGGTTGTAATATCAATAAGGGGCATTTTAGTCTTTTAAACAGATTAGGGAAAAAGTAAAGTTGAATAAATTCAAAACATGGAAGGAATGGTGAAAAGTTTAACAACAGAACAGGGGAATTGAACCTGCTTTCTGGTAACACCAATGGTTCCTAAGTGAAAGTATACTTCCTCACAATCAAGAATATATCATAAGAAGGAAAGACACAAGTTGAAAGAGGATTGGATAGTGTTCCTTGTGTATTTGTTTATTGATGTTTGAGGATGATAAGATGACCAATTTCTCATAGAGCAACAATCTCTACAACCTTTTGGTGACTAGTTAGTTGAACTTGCCCTATATGAGTTGTTTCAGGAGGAACCTGATTTACAGAACCAGACATTGATCCATATCAAGACCACGTCCAACAATCAGTTTTGAAGTTTTAAAGACATTTCTTTAGCCCTAAATTCAAATAATTTACCATCTTTTGAAACTGGAGCACGCATAGCTTTTTGATGAAACCCAATCATAGTGACAATTCTCTTGCTCACATTACCCCTGTTTTAAAAAAAATCAATAAAAGAATATAATCTTTTCATTTTCGAACTCAGATAAACTAAAAAAGGAAACAAATATTACCATGTTTTGCATTTTTTGACAAAATTAATAGAATTGGTGTCCCTAATAGACAATTAGATATCAATCACAAATGCCTTAACATATAGCATACAACAGGATCTTGTATACCTATTAATAAAATATAAATATTGGTTCACACATTTTATCAAACATATAACATGCATCAGGAGCTCAAAAAGCTTCAAAGTTTTTCAACGATATAATTTTTCCAATTTCACATCAATCATCTGTTATAGCACTACCAACAAACTTTTTTATGATTATAAACATGGATTTATAAAACGGAATATGCAATTGGACTTACCAGCAGGTTGCAATCGATCATTCCTTACTAACATGTTTTTTGTGTTATTTAATACAAATTGCAGCTACAAATCAAGAAAATAAGAGCAACAAATATTGCATGTTTCTCTCCCTCCTTGAAATTGAGCACAAGTCTAAAACAAAATAAATATGATGAAATTGAACATAGGGCCTAAATTCTTTGAGAAATTTTCAGGATTCAATGAAGAACCATACATGTTCAACAGAAAAATCATAAATCAAAACCTATATATTATCAAAAAAATAGGACCTGATGAGAAGAGGAAAAAGGAAGAAGCGTACCTGATGAGAAGGGGAATGAGACTTCAAAAAATTGGAACAGATGAGAATAGGATCGTCGACGATTGCTTGTTGTGGGAGAAGAAAATTGGCGTTGAAGTAGGAGAAGAAACGATGGAGTCGTTGATTTCTTAGGGCAAGGGTACAATTGGAAATCCTTCTCCCTTTCTTCCTCCTTTCTCAGTCAGTCGATTTTTTCCATCTTACCCGATTAGATTAAGCTTTCCGAGTCAGATACTCAAATTTAGTTCATAAAACGTCTTTATTTGACTGATTCAGCAAAAAAAGTTTTTGATGTCTGAGATTCGATACCTTGAACCAAGAAAGCCCTAAATCTCTATGAGATAGGAGCGCCGACACCTGGATCGATTTTGTTGAGAAGCATCGAGCATAAAACTAAATCTTTTGGGAGTCGCAGTCGCATTCCAGGAGAGATGAATGTGATGTTGCAGTGGTCTGTTAGAGATAGACAGAAAGGAGGGACATGGATGGAGGAAAAAGGTGGCCTGGTGATTCTAGGGTTTTTATACAAATGGTGGTGTTAGTAACCAACGATGTTGGTGTGAAACAGGGGTGGTGATCTTGTGATATGTTGTGTCGGTGGTATAATGGGGCTTTATTGGAGGTGGTGGTGAACCGGAGAGAATACGAAGGGTGGTGGGTGGTTGTCGAGCAATAGGTGGTAGAGAGAGAGAGAGAGAGAGAGAGAGAGAGAGAGTAAATCAGGAGAAGTTAAGCATAAAACAAAATAAAACCCTAAGATACAAGGAAGATGGCGATGGCCTGCCAAAGGGAAAGTGCATAGGTCTTCCTTCAAAAGAGACAAGGTTTTTCATTTTAGGGTTTGCAGAGAGAATAGAGGGAGAGAATGGAAGGAGATCAAGAGGATAGAGTGGAGAAGTGGGCACTTGAAAATTTTAGAATTTTAGAGATTTCATTTTCCCCACTTAAAAACATACGTCTAACTAAAAAATTATAAAGCGACATTTCTAGATGACACACACATTTAAAATAAGCGCCCTCCGTGTTTGTAATTTTTTTTTGTTAGACATTAATTTTAGGGCACGCACAAATGTCTGTCTTCTATCCTTCAAATTTTGCAACACTAACATTATTTTTTAGGGCATGTACAAATGCGCGTCCTCTATCAGCGCGTGTCATTGCTTGCGTGTCATTAAAGGGCTGTTTTCTAGTAGTGGTCGAGATTTGACGTACGGATTCGATCGGTTGGATCGCGAGGTCGTTAGAGCCATAGCGAAAAGATAATGGATGGCAACTACTGTTAGATGAGGATTTCGTTCGAAAGTCGTGAAGAGCAACTGTATGGGAGCCTTTGGCTCAGTAACCAGGTAGGAACCCAATAATTCAGATGTTTGACAGACGAATTGAGACCGGGAAGGTCTCGATGGGGTTTGGAAAGCTGTCGGGAGGTAGTTTAGTATTTCAGGTAGTTAAGTGTTTCAGAAAGTTCCAGTATATCGGGCAGTATTGGTGTTTTTTTAGGATTTTATGAACGGACGGAGTAACTGATCGATTTGGAAGCGATAAGTCGATCGTAGTAGGATTAAATAATCTTAGAGTGGTTGATTTGACTCTATTGTGCAATTCTCGTACGAGTCTAACCGTTGCAGGGATGAATCTCCCACTCGAAGGATTATCTGATCCTTCTGTCAGGTCTAAGTGTTTTGTAGTCATTATGGATAGTGACTTGCTCCCATTTTAGCATTAGCATGATGGGTGACAGTTTGGTCTAAGAGGTCTGACAGGGAGCCGGACCACTGAGACCTTAGGATTTAGACTCTAGGGAAATTCGGATAGGTTTTACTTGAGAGATCGAGGAGTCATTCTTCAGTAAGTTTGAAGAATTACTCTAAGGATGGTTTTGGTAGATCCGGACAGGCCACTAAAAGAACAGTGTTGGAAGGATTGTGATTATACGACTATGTTAGCTCATATTTTGTTGGTTTGAGCTAGGCATTCATTTATATGAGTATTGTTAGTCATTGTTTAGGTGTTTATAGGGTTTGTGGTTGGGTGAACAGAAAACAAGATGCTTTTCGTTCAACTAGTGTTTGCGGTTGCAAGGTTGTTTATGGTCGTGAACTCATTTACGATTCATGTTGCTTATATATAGTGCCAGTGATTGTCAGAAGTAATGTTCGATTGTATGTGTGTGTCCATTGTACTAGACGTTTGTGGTTTAATAGAAACATGTGCAATTTGGATCATTCTTGCTTCTACTAGTTATTGTTCTCATTGATTATTGCTTGTTCTTGTGTTTGATCGCTAGTTGGTTCCGAATTTGGGGACTTACAATTGGTATCAAAGCCATACTAGTGTCAAAACTATTCAAGATGTGTTTTTGGTTGGAGTTATTCATCATTTTTGTGATTGTTCATGCTTGGTTATTGAGTTTCTGCTGTTGATCATGATTTCAAGGCCAAAGGGATTGAAAATAAGCTCGAAATCATCTGTTTTCATCAAGATCTAGGAGTTTTCAGTTGTAAACTGTTCGTCAGTTTTTGGCTGTAAACATGTTTCTGGCCGTAAACGTACTGAGTTTTCGGCTGTAAAGTCTTTTCGACTGCAAACAACCTATTTTGGACTGTAAACCGCTCTTTGACCGTAAACTACTTTGACCATGAACTGTTTTCGGCTGCAAATCCATGTACGGCCGTAAGCCCCTTTTTGGCCGTAAACTCATTCTTGGCTGTAAACACAGTTTTCGATTGTGTTTTCTTTAGAAATTTTATTTTCGGTCAGTTAAGAAAATTTAAATTTGAATTTTAAGGTTGAATTTCAATGTTTCTAGTCAAAAGGGTATTTTTGGTAAACAATGAGTTCCGCAAACATCCCAGTCAATGAAGTTTAATGCTCTCAATCTTGTGAAGCTACGATTAATTTTTTTCGTGAACAAATTGATTTGCTAAAAAGGGAAAATGACGACCTAAAATATGAAGGATATACTCTTAGGAAGGCCCAAAAACCCTTAAAAACACAATTGGAGGCCAAAACTATGGATTTTAGAAAACTTCGAAAGGAATATAGCAATAAATGTGAAAACTATGACTATGTTAAGAGACAACTTGCCGAATTAACTATCGAACTTAATGCATTGAAAGCTAAATATAATGATGCTGAATTCACGTTTAAGAAAT